AGTCCATGGATTCTCAGTGGAAGGGTTGATTTCGGGTGTTTGTGTTGTATCACCCGGCCTAAAGATGCTCTTGTGTCAAAGGCGAAATGTAGCCATAAGTAGATTTGTATTCTAGAACCCGAAATTAGTTTTCGATACAGTTGACGTATTAAAATGCCGTACAACATACTTCTTTGCTGATGATCTAAAAACGGCATACACCTTATGTCCGGGTGGCACCAATGTTGCTGTCAACATGATCTAACTCGACCTGCGTAAACTTGAAACCCGGTGCTCAAGGTAAGGAATCATTCACTAAATAATTTTGTTGTGCAATGTATTACAAATACGATTTGATGCATAGCTGCCTGACCACTGATGGCAAACTACTTAATCTCGGACATACGATAGGAAACCTGGAATTGCAATGTTCATGCTCACGTGACTTATGTGGATAAATAGGTTATGTCCGCGAGGACAGAGCAGAGCATTTGATAATTATTTAAGGCCTTTTCTCTACAAGAAACAATACTTCATCCTCAGTTGCTCGACCTACGCTGGAATATAGTTCAAGAATGTAGTGCAGCTCCAAAAACGACGGCCGCATAGCAGCAGAACAACTACAGGGAGTGTACACTAAACGTGTTGTAGGTGCTCCCCAGATCTTGATCCGCTCTGGTTACGAATCGTAAAGCGAAATCCAGTGGTTTTCTTCAACGTCTCGCACAGAAATATACGTTTCCAACCTCAACATGACATTGATACAATCAGCAGTCTACAACACACGAAACTAACAGAACTCGGTGGCGGAATGCAAGTCCAAAACCAGCAAATATTTTCCTTCACAGGTACGCAATAGTCTGGAACAAGTTAGTATCCGGAACCCGTGGCTTAACTTGAATATGTATTTTGCATAAGCATCAACAACAGTATAGGTTTTGAAATGTTTGACTGCTCTATCACAACAAGCCAAGCGCACGAACAGAGTCCAGACTTCATATGACCCAGTACGTATTTCGTCACCATATCCCCTCCCGTGAGTTCGCTGTTCTATACTAAGGTGTGCGAGACTGGTCAAAAGCCAGCCAACATCACTTTATTTCAGTCAACTAGTTATAGTTTTTGCTATCCTTCCAAACGCCATTATCTGATATGGTTTTTAATTTGCCTGATTCACCTGCGATCAACATTCGATGCACGTATACAGTTACCCGACCATTTCAATGTAGGCGTGCGTCGCGTCGTCGAGAATAAAAGTTTATTTATTCAGTTACTAATACTGTGGCCAGATGAGCGCAATTGGTTTTTGTCGTGTTGATGGATGGTGTTCGACACCAGTCACGTCAATAATCGGCCACTCTATCTGATATAGCGCAGTCATGAAGATATTGATGCGTCAGTATTCGTTCGGTAAGTTTTGGCCTTTAGTTCTCGAGGTATTCGTCATGTATACATCCTCTTGGGTTGTTATTGCAAACATAATAATATTGCTAGAGACGTACGTCAAGACCATTGTGGTGCGCGGATCACCGTCGACAAACTGGCTGTATTGATGAGCATAACCTTACAACTTGACGCCGTGCTGATATACCGCTTCCCATCTTGGAGGTAGGATCTGCTGGTATTTTTCTCCATCTCTACTTCTCATTCCGCCTACTACGATGAATGACAAAGGAGCAATCTAGGAACGTAGCTCTCCAATATCGCCTTTTGTCTCAATTTCCTGCAGATCACTGTACTCTTACATGGCCTTAACTCACTGGTTGTCGTGACCACACCTGCCTTCTTCCACCTCTCATGAGCCTTGCTTGACATATGGAGCTCGAGTGCCATGTCCCTAGCAGCTCCAGTAATAAATGTTCCAGATACAAAGTTCTGTATGCAAGATACAGGTATCTAATATACAAGGTAACTATGTTCACATGAAATACGGTGAAGCATCAAATTCTCTGAGTGTGTAACTGTTGCAGGCCCGTCAAAAATGCGCCAGAAACTCCGGCAGAATGGCTGTGGGAAGCGGGGTCCAATTCCTCCCCACAACGTAGTAGTGAGCAGCCACTCCGAGACGCGGCCCAACTACGCACCTTTTGACAATGGCATTTTACAAACTACCGCCTCGTCATGGTAGAAATTTTCCCTTACTTAATGACCCATAGCATTGGCTGTGATTCGCCCATTGTTGGTCGTAAAAGAGCCCACAGAGAACCGCCTGTCTTTCTTTCCTTTTCGCCTTACTTGGGAGTCGGTCGGGGCACGTGACTGCGTGTGAGTCGTTAGCTGGCTGGCCTTCGCGTCTAAGTCATCAGCGCGCGTCGATCGTAACCCCGTCTCGTGTGCGTCCGTTCCGAGGGCTCAGCGTCTATCCGAACACGTGCGGCTAGAATCGTTCACATGCTCGCTCAATTTCCGTCTCACCGGCTAAGCTAACGTCATCAGGTCAGCGCAACTCCGTGCGACTGGCTAAGGTTACAAACCGTTATCGTAGGCGTGCTCCAATCGTGCCAGTGACAATATTATCAGGCAATTACGCAATTAGTACAGAGGCGGCGTTTCGTCAATTATAACAGTATCCGATACATGTTTGTTACTCTGTCTTGTATACGCTGTCTCTGCGAGGTACTTGAAGAGGCGCCGTGTTGGCACAACGAAGAATCGTTCTCCGGTACGGGTTAATTCGGCACCAATTATTATCAGCAAACCGAATTTGTGCAATCTCAAAGCACACGCGGATTATTCATCTTTATATGGGTAGCAGACTTCCTCGTTATTGTCATAACTCACCGCATAAGAAGGACCACCAATTTCCAAACTTACATAGAGCCACCGTCGTTCCTTGAGGTCTGACCAAATTGGGTTCGCCTTCTCTTACTACAAGAACCCCCACATACTATTTAGTTGGAACATTACGCATAATATTTGCACGTAAGAGGATTAACACTTGTCATTTTCATTCTTACATGAGAAATCTTTTACGTGACTACGGATGACACACTTTCCCGTGGATACTTCTACTTAGGATACCCAGAGGATTAAAATTTTCCTGTGTTGGACACACATTTTATACTTTTGTGTGGCTTGAACGGCTGAGCTCGGCTGCTCTCATTACCGCAACAATACTTTTGAATACTAGTACCGCGGAATTACCAAAATGATAGTACGCAGAATCTTCAGTCTGAAATCTGAGGATTATGACTTACTCTTCAAATTCTTCTGAATTAGAAGCTTCAATTATCCTGCCACATCTGGAGGATGAGCAATACTTTTCTGGTATCGACTTCTCGTCCTTCTCTGCGTTCCCAATAATAGCCAGCGTTCCGTGACTACCATTTGGACACAAATCGAACCTCCGGTCCCATCCCTACAAAACATTATCTAACCGATCGATCACATGATGACTCTGTTCCATCGCGTTCCAGTGTAATTGAGACGCCGATCTAGTCGATAAACTCGCTGGTACGACGCTCAGTTGATTGTGGGCAATTCAGTTCTGTTCTCGAAGCACAATGTTGACCATACAAAGCTGATCATCTAATCTCACTTATCTCTCGTAAATTTTTGCACGACCATTCTAAGCAAGATGGAATGACCGTATTCTCGAACTAAGCAGGCTTAAAAGAACCGATTCAATGGAGGCACCTACATATACTCACCACTAGGAACTAGTATAGTATCTGATTGGTTGATGAACACTCACACACACATTGCTCATCGAAAATGCTGCAATTACTCAATCAAACCTGTTCATGAGCGTCTAGTGCACTTCGAAAATAAAAGTGCTGGCACTTGTACCTCGAACGACTATCAACTGACACGAGAGTTGTATAGCCGCATCTTCCTCAAGATCGCTACATCCGTGGTTAACCCTAGGTTAGTGAAGTAATATTCTACCGTGAATAACCCAAATAGCTCAACTCCTCTGGTTATGCGCCTGTGTTTCCGACAGGCTCTGTTCCAAGGTAGCTTAATACATACTACAACAACTACTGTAATCACAGTAAGCACTCTTATGGAAGCGAGTGAATATGAGAAAGAAACATCAGCACGAGATCACATAAAGTGAAATGAGAGCCACTCAAAATGGAGTAACCTTGACGAAAATGCCGTGTCCGACGACAAAAAAACGAGGAAGGGCAGGTAGATGAGGAAAATTAATCAGAGGTATTTGAAGAACGTTTGCTTTTGATGACGCTGGACAAGCGCTTCACTCGTAGCATTACTTCTGCCTGAAACGAGAGAAAAACAAGATCAGGATTGTGAGGGTGGCGAACGATCAGGGTCTGTGTGCGCGGCATTAATAGATGCGAGCAACCATGCACGAACACAGAAGCGGAAACTGCAGATCACAAGAGAAAAGCATCACTACTACTACTACTACTTGCTACTACTACTAGTACTACTACCACTACTAATAATAATAATAGTTCGCGACGAATTCTCGCATGAATCAGGTGGGCGAAAAAGATAACAATTATGCGAGAACAGGTGCAGTGGGTTTCAGGTTTTGAACACGAATCACTTTTGACACAAAAGCTTTTTCAGACTGAGTGGGGTGCGACTTGCAACGAAGAGAATTTCGCTACACTTGCTCATCACAACTAAGAACATTTCGGTAGATAATAACCGGAGTACGAGTGTAAAAAATACAGGACAAGTTGTTCGTGTTTTGGACTAAAGTTTCGAATCGACGAATGAGGCTGCAATGTCATGCACAAGCAACCAGAGGCCAGAGGTGTAAAGGTCGAGCATTTTGACTAGGGTACAACAGAACCAAACTAGGAAGTAAGTGTATGAATCTCTCTGGATCGCTTTCAAGTTACCGCCTCATGAGTTTTCCATTTTGAATGTATCTGCGGTGGAACGTGCGCTGTATCTCATGCCTTCTGTGAAGAACCTAAGCGTGTTCTCACGTTGCGAGTCGAAGTTCCTGGACAACACGAATAGGCTACACCGAAACGGATTGCGCACACTCTGAGAGCTCAAACGCAGTTTTTGCATAAGGTCTGAAGAGGTTGCCACTCACTTTTCCTTCATGATAAGACCAATGCTAGAGTGTTGCTCGTCAGTCTACTATCCAATCACCCGAGGAGGCGAGGTGCAGACGAACAGACGGGTTAAACTCATTGTTACCAAGTTCATTCCGAGTTTAGGAGGATTGCCGTACGAAGATCGGTGCGAGAAGCTAGGCCTGTACACCTTGTTCTATACTCGGCTGTGAGTTGATCACATCGTGATCTGTCGCATATCACACCTAGTTGACGTCCGCAAGTTGAGACCGCTACTTCATTTGCGATTGCCATGTAGCTCATGCGGACGCCGGTACAAGCTTGTGGTGCCTGATATGAAGCGTTTTTAATCCCCCTGTGCTTCGAAGGAAGAACAACCACTGTTTGGAATAGTCTGCCAAAAAAGTCGTGAAAGCCAAATCAGTAGGATTTACAGCACCATTCGATTCAGAGAACGACTGCACATTAGCAATGACATCGCAAATTTATGAACCCCGTGCAAACGTAAATCTGACATTTTAAAATGCTATATAAGAATTTGGAAAACGATTAGATTAGCACCGGTGGCACATCTGATACCTTTGCGCGGACGCGTCTACGATGCGGACAAGCAGCAGTGAGATTTGAGGAGGACACGCAGCTTGTTCAACGAAGCCCGCATCTCTTGGAACAAAGGTAAGGAGACTTGAATGATGGTCGCCGTGTGAAGGCAGCAACTCGTCAAATGCTATCACTCACCGCTGAGGCGAGAAAGACGATGACACCGAGTTTGCCTAATCAGCGTGGCACAGATAGTAGGCGGCGTGGTCTAACATACTATGAATGTTGCTGTGCAGTCCCAGATAGAATAGGCGAAAGTCTGTGATCAAAGTCGATTGACTACGAAACCCGATATGATGTGGCGGATACCTACCGATACAACCTGTGCATGGTATGTCATTTGGTTTAGTGTTGTTTAAAAGTTAAATTCTATTAGCAAGATGCAATTCGGAAACTGGGGCTGTAAGATTCAACTAATATTCCTAAGGAAATGGATGGGACTATCTTTGTCGGTTCCTGTTTGACGGAATCATTCATTTGCAGCCAACTGGCAAATGTTATTGGTCGGCAAGCTGGCGATGTCCCATTGGATATGCTTTCGTCTACTACTTGTCTATTAGATCACTATGACCCCTTGGCAACAGGGTTAAATCAAGATCAGGCCTCACGCATGACATAGGAAGTGGCGACTGTGCGACACATGAGACGTCTAGCCCTTATCAAGCATGCACTAGATGAAACAAGGTTGTTTCAAGACGGGACGGCCCTTCGTGTATCCAGGACAACGGGACTGGATTTTAGCGTGGGACGATGCTTTTCTTACCCCCGTGACCCATTTAGCCAGGCTGGGTTGCACTTTACAAGTGCCTTTAGATAGGTCAATGATTAGGTGGCAGACTATCTCAGTCTCACAATCCAATCCTCTTCGGAGGTTAGGAAGAGGTCGATGGCTCCCTTTAAAACTTAGCCATTGGAAACAACAGGTATTCGGGTTATAAGCTCACAGCTGGATTGGCGTAGAGCCCGAGTGCCACGCATTATCTCTGACGGTGGGATAGCACCTTCCGATGCTCAATAGTTTGCTACCGCTCGCCTCAAGCCAAACAGCTCCCGCCAACTCCCACCTACTGCTCGCCGTGGCCGCAGTTGAATAAAATGGTTGGCGACATCCGGTTTAGGATTCGCCTGTCACTGTGACCAGCCACATGACGCCTGCGCCTACAGAGGGACCATGGGTGGCTTGCGCTGCACCACCCACAGCTCCATCCACACACACCATATCCAGTGTAAACACGAAGGAATAAGACCGGGAGGCATGTGGATGGGAGCCACGTTTCATCAATGGAGCAGGCCCACACTCCTTCACAGGCAAACACAAGCACACTGTATTTGGGAATCAAGCGCACACAAGGCAGCGGCTGGACCGTAGTCCGCTCCCCACTGACTGCATGGAACCGCTCTACGAGCCTAACACGGCCACAAGGACGGTGCATCCCGTCCCCTCCAGCAACGACCAACTATCTCCTGGAGCCAGTATGAACGAGGTAGTGGGTAATAGACAGGTAGGCACATTGTCAATATGCAAACCAAACGCAGCCACACCGAGGATATTAACAGCCAATCACTTGAAATGACATTATCAAATACAATATATCAGTTAAAGCATATGGCTATGCAGACATAACCCTTCGCTAAATTAGCATATAAAGTAAGTTAGTTAGCAACGAATCCGCGATAAGTACAAAATGTCCACAACTTATTCGAAATGTGCCACGAACGCAATAAAGTTAAGGAAGCTAACCATAATTAGCGTAAGCAACGTATGCAAGTTAATAGAAGATACTGGGGCAGGCAGAACAAACAAAATCATCATCAACATAATTACACGTTAGCTGGAGGCGGAAAACACCTCAGCTATTGTGCCGCAATACAAAAGAAAAGAAAAGGAAAACAGTGGCAAGCCCGCTGAGTCCCCAGTAACAGATGGACATCGTTCCGCAAAGCTAACAGCTGGCTGCCGTAAAAGAGAATCGTATTATGCCTAACAGGTGAGATCGTTATCGGAGGGGGATACTAAACAAGAGGGAGATTGACAAACGAAATTACAACACAAACGCCATTGGCGTCGGCTCCGAGCCATATCAGCAAGTGTGTCCAACCAAACGTGCTCACCGTCCTTAGGACCCCAGCCAGGCAGTCGGGATGCACGAACCGACGACAACTTCGAAGTGAGGGTTTTCATTTTTCTCGACCAAGCCATCACTTGGCCCCCCTACTCCTCTTCCAACCGCACCCACTACGCGCAAACAATGCACGTCGTGGGAGTCGGTGTGCTGGCATGCGCAACACGTGGCCCAGCCATCTGAGCCTGGTGCGTGATTTAATCGTGCTGAGTGGTTCACTCGCTCTTCCTGCACCAAATACGCGACGTCGAACACGCTCATTGCTCACGCGGTGCTCCCACCAGACATGAGCTAAGCTTCGAAGGCAGCGATGATCGAATATGACGAGCCTCTTCATGTCTGTCGACCTGATGGGCCAGGTTTCACAACCATATAGGGGAGTTGAACGGACCTCATCTTCAATCCCACGGGTGCTAATATACCTGCCCAGGTATTTGAACTCCTGAACGACTTCTAGCAGATCACCACCAAGCGTTAGCGCAGGGTTGGGTCCCTACTAATCTTGGAGAAGTACTTTGCATTTCGATGGAGCAAAGCATAGCCCAAAACGATTCACAGCCAGTGCTAATCGATCCAGTGCTATTTGGCATGTTTGGTGGCAGTCACAGATTACGGCAATATCGTCTGCATACTCCAAGTCAAGAAGTCGCTCACCAGGAAGTAGCTCCACACCTTCTAGGTCGTGTCCAGCGAACGCTGTTTCCATGACTTCATCAATGTCGAAGTTGAAGAGGAAAGGTGACAGCGGGCATCCTTGTCTCACACCGCTGGTGATACTGAAGGGTGGCGAGAGTTTGACATAAACCCTCACCCTGCCCGAACTATGCGCGTACAGCGCTTTGATAATATTTACATATTTATCAGGCACACCTTTCCTCAACAGACAGTCTCAAAGGGCACATCGATCGACTGAGTCGAAGGCACCTTTTATGTCAAGAAACAAGACAACGGTGGGTCGCCAATAAACATGGCGGTGCTCCAACACTTGACGCAATGTGAAGATGTGGTCGATGCAGCCCCGACCTCGACGAAATCCAGCTTGCTCTTCACGAATCTCGCTTTCTCGAGTGCCAATCAGTCTGTGGAGAATGACAGAGGCAAGCAATATAGAGGCAATCGAAATCAGACTGATCCCTCTATGATTGCCGCATTCCAAACGGGAGTTTCCCTTGAAAATTGGGACAATGACGGAGCGATTCCAGTCTGTCGGGAATGTCTCCTGCTCCCAAAGTTTTACTAGCAACTCGTGTAGATCATCTACTAGAGCAGGTCCCCCGAATTTGAAGAGGGCTGGGGGAATTCTATCTGCCCCTGCGGCCTTGTGCAATTTCAACAGCCGGATCTCAAGTTCGACCTCTGCGCGTGAGGGCGGATCCAAGGAGACGGCCCAAGGAGAAGGGCGCTCAATGCCCGAAGAAGAAAGCGATGACTCAGGTTGGTTAAATTGCCTTGCAAAGTGTTCAACCCAACGCGCCAAGCGTTTTGACAAGCTGTGGATCGGCTGCCCACTCTCCTCGCGTATGGTCTCGCTAACACCAGGTCTCCTGCTGCCTGTTTCCCGTATCAGACGGAATAACTTATGATGACTACCCACGGCAGCGGCTGTTTCCATCTCAGAGGCATGATAAGACCACCAGGTTTCGCGGTCCTTCCTCAGGCTAGCACGTAGTTTTGCACTGAGATTTTTGCGAGCCTCATTGTATTCGCTTCCAGTCGGAATACGTTGGCCAGCATCCATAAGTTTCAGAGACTTTATAGAGACCCACTGTCCGGTTTGGCAATTTGCTTTGCCACATGAAGACATGCCTGCTGACAGTAACGTTTGACGAATATGCGACCAGTGATCTTCAACGGTGTTTAGTGGGCGCTTACTCAGCCCAGATGTCAGCGCATCTTGGTACACATTCAGAACATCTGGCTTCGCCAGCTGGCTGGTGTCAATCCGTTCACATCGACGTTGCGGACGTCCACCGAAACGCACCAGGAGGTCGGCACAGACAAGTGCGTGGTCAGAGTCTACGTTCGTGCTTGAAATCGAGCGACAGTTATGGACACAGCCTCTCCAGCGGTAACTGATCGCGATATGATCGATTTGCATCCAGGGTTGGCCCGAGGCTGATGGCCGCCAAGTCACGCTTCTGCGGGTGCTGTGTCGAAAGTTTGTGCTCGCGAGAAAGAGGCGAGCATCTTCACACAGCTAGAGCAATCGCTCAACATTATCATTACGGGAGCCTACACGATGTTGGCCGCCCAGATAAAGGTCATCAGAGGACAATTTTCCGACTTGGGCGTTTAGATCGCCAGCCAACACCACAGTATCCGTGCTTCTTCTGTAACGAAAGTGCTCGTGAAGTTGCTGATAGAAATCATATTTTACCGAATCAGTGCTACAGTTTGTAGGGGCGTAAGCCGCAATGACAAACAGGCAACGTTTGTCCCCGCGCGACTTCGTAGCACGGAACGAAGCAGCTAATCTAACGGCGCACATTCTACTGTTTACTGGGATCCAATCAATCAGGGCAGCTTCAGCCCGGGGACTCAAAACAATGCCGACGCCAGCTTGACCGGCATTTGAATTTACATCATCGCCAGACAGGCGCAATGAGAATGTGCCGCCAGTGTCGCATGTGTGGGATCGCAGGGTAAGCACGGAGCTCGAACCTTGCAGGCGGGTTTCTGATAAACAGCAAATATCGATCGATAGGGTCTCTAGTGTGCGGGCAAGTGCTGCCTGTTGGCCAATCTGCAGCAAAGTGCGCACGTTGAGCCATGCCAGTCTTAGCGAGACGCGAGGACTCCAAAGGGAAACGGATGGACTGAAGTTGTCCGCTTGGTTGAACATGGACTTGTCAACTGGATTGAAGCGAGGCCCTGGGATTGTGTGTGGTTTGAAATTAGAAGACAAGCGACTACTGAAGTAAGCTGGGGGAGGGCCAAGAATGGGGGGATTGAAAATGGGGGGGATATAAGTAAAGTTGGAGCGGGACGATAAGGATGAAGAAGCGCAAGAAGGGGTATAAGAAGACGGGAAGGCCTGAGCAGTAGCATCCATACCCCTATCCACCCTGCTCGATGCAGCAGATAGGGCACCGTTGATTATCCTCTGCGACGACCAGAGCATCAAGAAATTGTTGTGAGAAAGTTTCATTGTATTGCGTGGGCAGAATACTGTCAGGTTGCCCAGGACTAGATAGGAGAACGATTAGGGTTCTCAACCAAAGGCTTTGGTTCAAAAATCCTACCGCAAGGCAGCGGGTTTTGGCACTGGACTACGGAGCCCGTTTTATGAAATGAGGAGCCACCCCAATTCCAACTCCCAACCTGGAGAACCAGGAGACTGAGTTTGTCTGGCTTCTAACCATTGACCAATCTGGTATGAGTGGCTCTGAAGGTGCAAAGAAAGCACCACCCAGCATAGCTCAATGGATCTCTGAGGCACGCAAACCATCGCACCACGGTAAGGTCCAGCCTCATTGCGATGGACAAACAAAATAAAGTGGAATGAAATTGATCCAGCCTAAAAAGTCCTAGTTTAAGGGTATGCTGGTTTAGCCTAACATGGTTGGCGGTATCCGGTTTAGGATTCGCCTGTCACTGTGACCAGCCACAGGACGCCTGCGCCTACAGAGGGACCATGGGTGGCTTGCGCTGCACCACCCACAGCTCCATCCACACACACCATATCCAGTGTAAACACGAAGGAATAAGACCGGGAGGCATGTGGATGGGAGCCACGTTTCATCAATGGAGCAGGCCCACACTCCTTCACAGGCAAACACAAGCACACTGTATTTGGGAATCAAGCGCACACAAGGCAGTGGCTGGACCGTAGTCCGCTCCCCACTGACTGCATGGAACCGCTCTTCGAGCCTAACACGGTCACAAGGACCGTGCACCCCGTCCCCTCCAGCAACGACCAACTATCTCCTGGAGCCAGTAGGAACGAGATAGTGGGTAATAGACAGGTAGGCACCTTGTCAACATGCACAGCAAGCGTAGGCATACCGGGGATTTCAAACAACAGCCATTCACTTGAAACGACAAGCTGAAATAAAATAAATCCAATAATGTATGCAGACACGGTGGCATTACTCTTCGCTAAATTATCATATGAAGTGAGTTGGTTACCACCAAAACCACGATAAGAAATATCCACAAGTTACTCAAAAATGCTACAAACGCAACTAAGTTACCGAAGATAAGCGCAATTAGCGTAAGCAACGTGGCCAGTTAATAGAACATTATTCAGGTAGGCAGAACAAACCAAGTAAAGTGGAATGAAATTTAGCCAGCTTAAGAAGACCTAGTTTAAGTGTAAGTTGGTTTAGCCCAACTGCGGTGAAGAAACATCAAGAATGCAACATCAGCCTCAGCATGTAGCACTTAGCCAAACATAATGCCGTCGTTAAACACGTGTACACTGTACTAAAACTTCAGACTGTGTATGATAGGCCTCAAGCTGATCACAAAGGGTCCCTGCAATCACAACTCCGAGCTGGACCTGCTCTCCACACTGCCCCCCTTCGTGTATAACATACTTTAAAGAAATGGATGGCGAGAGAAGTTCAATCATTCGAACGGCCCCATGAACATATGATGATCGACAGTTCGAAATACAGGTGACAGTCAGGAGAGGATGGCGATATGTGTTGATGGGAGAACGGAGATGCTTTTTAGCAGGCAGGGAAGAAACTACGTAGATTCCCCAAAGAAAGCCACACTTACCAATACCAGCGCGCAGTAGATTGAGATGAATAAGAGGCCTAGTAGAGTTTCGGGCAAATAAACCTCGACAAGCAGTTAGAGACGAAGACATTGAAAATGGAGCTAAAACAACAAGCGGAAATGAAGTACCTTCGTTTTTGTGGGAATACATTCGGCTATCCGGTCCCAACGTTCAGGAACTTCTTTTCCAATCGATCGAATTGCCACTTCCAACTGTTTCTGTTCCACTTGAGTCCATCCGTCGGATAAATCTACGGCCGCGTTGCGTTCAGATGATTTTTTGAGAGAGGTCACATTTTGCTGTTTAAGCTTCTTACGACTAAGATATGGTTCAGTGATGACAGTAGCTGGAGAAGCAGCATGGATGGAAAAAAATAATAAAAATTTATCACGCGATACGTGTGTGTGTATTGGATCATCGTATGATGCATTTTGTAGAGTCGACAAAAGTGGCTACAGTATTGGTTGCAGACAAGAGATGAAAAAATAGTAAGCAAATAGTAGTTCGGTTAAAATACCGATAGGAAATCAGAAATCGCTTAAAGAAACTGTCAGGCGCATTGCGGAAATATTCGCGCCCCGAGGATCGAACGAAGTCAACCCAGTTGAAAAAGCAATATTAGGGTTAAAGCGTCGCGCTACCTGGGTGTAGTTAACCTGATAATGGTTTCGAAGGGCCACGGAGAACTTGGTCGCAGCGAAAGCAGTGAATAGAAAACATACTGGCAGTGCCCACCAACGCAACTCTACTCAATAAGTTATAAAGGGGATGAATGAAAGACAAACTAAGAGATAAAACCGGCGTCGAATGCGTCATCGGTGAGTACATGTTGAATGTTACTTGGGAGGAGATCAAACTTTTAAAAGATCGCTTGGGAACGCCGTAAATGGGATAACAGGGATGTGTAGAAGACACAATGTGAGGCGCTCTTCGCGATCCAAGACAGACGAAAGTGCGCAAAACTCCAGTAAGCAACATAGCGACGTGCCCGACGCAATGTCCTCTGTTGCAGAAGGAACCAAAAGATTCAGAAATGAAAGATAGCGAACAGCTAGTGTAGTTGGACGATGAGCAACGGAACTAGATATGCACATGTGTGAGTGCTGACGCCACATTTCGACGGTTCAGACACCTAAGGAACGAAGAAGGATGCATTACGAGTCGTTCTAACCCCAACGCTGACGCAGCCCAAGTACTGACTTTCTAAACTGTGAAGATACAACCCTGAATTTAAGCAGATTTAACTGCATGACAGCTGTTCACTCAGAGCGCTAAGGACAGGAACAGCCGACGGATCTAGTCAGCCAGTTCGACACCAATTGGTGTGAAAAACATGATCGTAAACAATCGTGCTCCAATTGAAAACGGTCCAGTGGATGTGTGTTGGGAGATCCACCACAGTATGTTTCGTACTCAGTGCCTTCATATGGGTCATCATCAGTACACATTGGCTGAAGATGAGAAACACACCTTAGCTATTGGGCCGCAATAAAAAAGGATAAGATATATGAAAATACAAAGGAATACAAAATAAGACCAAAAGACAAGTAATACGGCGCTCAGTATCTTACTAGGCATATAGCGCGAGATTGTGGTGGGAGGGTCAAGTTAAGTGGGAAAGCGAGGGACAAAGAGACGTACAACATAAGCGCCATTGAAGCCGGGTCTTCGCTAGGTCAACCAGTGTATCCAACCAAACAGGTTCATTGTCCCTGAGACCCCAGGCCGGAAGTCAAAATGCACTAACCGACGGTAACTTCGAAATGAGGGTTTTAATTTCTATCGACCAAGTCATGGTTTGGCCTCACCTCCTCCTCTCTCATCCAGACCCCGGGCGCGCAAACGACGCACATTGCGGGAACCGTTGTGTTGGCATGCGCAACACATGCCTTAGCCATCGGGTGCTGGTGCGTGAAAGAATAGTGCTGAGCAGTTCACTCGCTTTTCGTGCTCTAAAACCAAAGCGGTGAACATGTTCACAACTAACGCGGCGTTCCTTCCAGACATGAGCTATGCTGCGAAGGCGGCGCTGATCCAATGTAGCTAGCGTCTTTATGTCTGTCGTCTTGATGGGCCAGGTTTCGCAACCGTACGGGAGAATTGAACGGACGACTGTATTGTAAACTCTGCCCTTTAGGGCGAAAGTATATCACGCCGCTACCACAGATGACGGAGATTGGCAAAAGTGTCTCGAGATTTTGCCATACAGTTAGTGGTCTCATCTATTCCACGGGGACAAATACAGCTGCCTAGAACGACTTCTGGCTGATTCATACCAAGGGGAAGCGCAAGGATGGGTCCCTGCCAAGCTTAGAAAAGGAGTTTGAATTTAAAGAGTACAAAACATAGCCTGAAACAACTGAAAGCCCGTGCCAATCTGTGCAGCACAGTATGGCAGGTTTGGGAGCTGTCACAGAGTAGGGCAATGTCATTGGCATGCTCTACGTCAAAACGTCGATAACATTGGATCCCTTCCACACCTTGTAGATCGCGTCAAGTGAACGTGCCCAATTCGAACTTCTGAGAGCCCATTCAGTAAGTATTGCATCCACCACGCATGCGATTTCCGCCAGTTTCAAAAGTCGCCGTAGTCACATCATGAGGACCTTCCTCAGCTACTTTGGATTCCCGTGGATACATACTTATTCGTCGAAATGCTTGGCTTCAAAGCGCCATAGCAATTTTTTCATAATGCTGTAACCTTGCATGTTTTTCTTGCATTTACATTTTTATTAAAAAGAAAAAGGTGTCAACTGTACGCCCTAACGGCGCTTTGCTGCCGCGCGACCACCACCAGGTATGCGTTGGCTGAGTATACGATGAAGACGCCCGCCCCTTAGCGGACTCGAACCGGTGATCTTATGGCTGCAAGCCAGGCGTGCAGACCACTCGGCCACCGGTGTTGTTTTTCACTCGAATACCTTGTAGAGCAATGATGATTGTGATGTTCACCGGTGAAGCGTTGAATGGCGCGTCGCCAAGGATAAAAAAGAACAAAATTAGATTGCAACAAATACGGTAACTTTTTGTAGAAGCCACGGCTAAACTGACAATAATCTGCCTCGACGGGGAATCGAACCCCGGACATTCGGATTACCTTTCCGCTGCTCATAAAACCACCAATACTCTAAATTTACCGTCGCCCTTTGAACACCTGAAGGACAGATACTTCCGTTCATTTGGAAGTGACGAGTGAGCCAATCTGCAACACCAGGACAGATACTGTGAGCTTATTGGCAATACGTCACGAACCAAGCAGAAGTCATGTATTAAATTGCGCACCTGATCGTCAGTCCTCGGTAGCTCAGTTGGTAGAGCAGCGGACCGGTAAACCGAATGTCCGGGGTTCAATTCCCTGTCGAGGCAGATTACTGTGTAATTTAACAGTGGTTTATACTTCTACAAAAGTACGTACTCGTAAAACCACCAATACGCTAAATACGGTAACATTAAAATATAAACAGTTAAGCAAATTGGGCATACCTCAATTGTTCAGGATCCCGGTAGATCACTGTCGACAACAAAACGCAACTACACAACAGGAGGGAAGGTGTTGTTCAAGCCAGACAGCGGGAGTAAAAAGTGAACACACGACAGATGTGTGTGAAAGTATTAGCAAAGGCACACTGGCCAATCGTTGATGGTCCAATTACAGAGTAAGTGGTTCACAGAAAGCACACATACACAAGTAACCATGATGATGAGATGAGCATCACTTAGAAGAAGTGGTAGGAATGTTAACGCCATGGCGATAGCGACATCATCATGCCTAGTGCATGGGGCATCTATCACCGTCGGAACCGAATTGATTGTTCGAAATGAATTGGAATATTGGTAGCTCGGGAGGCTTGCTCAGTTGTTGTGGAGTTCTCAAGTTGCCCAGCTCGGAGAACTCCACAACAACTGAGCGAATTGATTGTAACTGCAATGTTTTCGTCCCAGCAGCTACAGTATTGGCCAAATTAGTAGAAATTTTTTCAATCAGCAAATTTTTTCATATTTCATCACATATCTCGTAAGAATCAAATGATGTAACTGTAAAATGGTTATATTTACCAAGAATAACATACCGAATAGAAAATTATCAAGGTTAGTAATTCGTAAATGATTCTTCGGCAATTTTCAAGGAGTTAACACGCAAAAGCATGGAGTGAATGAGTTTTATTTGCAAAGTTCAGTCATGCTTTCACTGCGAGCCCAGGTCGCTACAATTTGTTCAGTGACCAGTTGCTTGTTTGTAATGCTATTTCTCTTCATCTCTGACTTTAGAATTGCCCGTTAATCTCTATTGGGTTCAGGTCATTGCTAGTATCAGGTCAAGACAACACTTCAATACCATAATCCTCAAAAAAACGGGTGACTTCACGCCCCTTGTGACATGGAGCACTGTCATGCATGAAAATGAAGTCTCCTGTCCCTGTAAATTCTTTTTCCTTTGACCATTCACACAGCTGAGGGATCAGTTGGTGCTCCAGTAGTTCTTTCTACTGCTGCTGGTTCATCTTACCCTGGAGGACGGAGAGCCGACCAGTTCCGTAGATGCTCATAGAGCTCCAGATCATGACCTGATTGGGATGTTTGACACTTTGAATGATGCAGTCTTCCCTCATCTGTTCGCCAGGCAATAGGCGGACCTATAGAGATTGCTGGTCAGAGTACCGGGCGATGCACTCATCGATGAAAATCACCTAAAATGAAACACAGAAAAACGCAGAAAACACAGCAAAAGTAAGGTAGACACCATTTTTCTGGAAAATCCTCATGAAAATAAAACTTCCGCCTCTTACCCGCTCCCATCCTTTTTAACCATTTTGAAGCTGTTTGGCCCAATGGTGGCGTTTTTCTTTCATTTGTTTGGTCAACTTTTGCTTTTTCAGTGGCCTGCAAGCTCGAAGTCCAGAATCCAAAAGTTGTCTTCTTACAGTTCTGGAACTAACTGCAACATCATACTGTTCCAACATCCCATGTAGCTGACTGCTAGATGCTTTGCGATTCTTTAAGCATTCCCTCAGTTGAAGTGATTCGTCTCGAGCCGTTGTTTCTCTTCTGCGACCACATTTACCGGAACGTTTGGGGGACAGGGGTAAATTCTTTTGCAATTTCTTTCGAAGTCGACATACAGACGCTGAGCTGACAACAATCTTGGTTGCAATTTCTGCTACTTTAACATCGTCTTTCAACAAAATTTTAATTTGTGTACGCTTTCGAGGGGTTAGGTCACGTAATTTACCCTTTAATATGCCAACACCATCTAAAAACTGGCGATCAATAGGGTTGTGTCGTTACTTGAGAAGACATCTTGAAAAACAACAATAAAAGTAATTAGACATACCTATAAATTGATCC